GACTGTGAATAGGTATTTTTGGAAATCTTTAAAAATAAGATATTTATGTCAGTATTACCCAGGCTGAGGTAAAACATGTTTATGTATATAACAACATAAGGATGGAAGGCATTCTTCAGATATGAGACAAGAAGATAATTTGGCTGGCTATGAAAGACACAGAACAATATTAGCTTATTAAAGGGTTTTGTAATTTTAATAATTTCCTTTCATAATTCAGTAATGATAAGTGATTTGAATGAAGACAGATCAAGAAGAATTAGGAGGAGACTTCAGAGTAAGATATATAATCCTCCAGTGATGATTTGAGAAAACAAAATATAGGCAAAGGAACCGATGAGACTGCAGATCTGGAAACAAAAAGACTGATGAAAATTAGCAGTTCATCATTCTCTGTATTTTAAGACTGATTGTGGGATATAAGTCCCACATTTATATCTCCTTTTAACAACAGCTTACAGCCCAACTCAGCAAATACTTGAAAAGTGCAACTGAACACTTAAGTTGCACACATTTACCAGTTTTTAGAAACTGAGCCACATTCTGCAATGACTAGAAGGATTTTCAAACTCCATACTGAAGCCAGTCAAAACCATTTATCCAACTTCTTAATAGTAGCCACCACTTAATAAATTCTCCACCCAGTCTCTATTACCAATACATTAATCCAGGTTCCACACATTTTCACAGTAAGAAGTACTACTTCCAAAATAGTTTTTGGCACACATAAAAAATGAAGATTTTTTTTTTTTCCCCTGCTGAAGTACCCCACCTTCAGCCTCATGGGGAGGGACTACCTTCATGTTCTTTTTTGAAGCTGGTAGCTGAGAAAGATTTTACTGCAGCCCAAAAGATCTAAAGTTGTAGGTCACTGGAGGATATTAAATGATAAGCAAATTCATATCTCTAAAAGTAATTTTCCCAATTTATTAGCAATGCTAGCTCCTGTTCCACAGTAGGGGAGATAATAATGAAGCCTTGTTGAAGGGCGATGTGATATCTTTTATGCAATGTCTTTTTTTCATCTGTGATAAAGTCATTAAAGCAGCACTGTGTCTTCCTGAAGCCCCAAACAATAGATTGCATTAAATCTCCTGTGCAAAATTAAGGACAGTAGCTCACTGGAAAAATAAGCATGTGTTCTTACTAATGCTGATGGCCTTCTCAAAAGCATTAAACTACTCTAAATCAGTGACAATAAAACAATACAGAACTGTTTTAACTTTTTCCAAAGCAAATAGAAAATCCATTTTCTTTGTAAATACCTCTTTGTTCTAAATCTGACTAGTAACCTCTGTCTCATAAGGCATGTCTTCCTTATGGACTGTCTACATCCTATTCTCCCACAATGATCCACCTTCAACTCAGTGTCTTAAATCTGGGTTGGTAAAGGTTTGTCTTCACTACACCAACAGAAGCTGCAGTTCCAGTGTCCTGCTCACCTCTTCTCCAGTCACAGACTCCAAGGATCTAGTGCATGGGGCACAGCTGAAATCTCAGCTCTAATTTCCTTTCAGACTCAGCTAGAGAACTGGGCTGCTTTGCAGCTGGGTGTACTTCGCACAGTTTCATTCTCCCAGGGCTACCCTAAAATCTCAGCTGGACTACACTTTCTTTGCTTATTCCTTCTGCAGTATTGCATTGTAAATTCACCTTCACTTGCTCTAGGTAAGTAGCACTTGAGCAGTATAAAGGCTGGGACTACTGTTTAAGAAAACTACCTAAAAACTGTTCAGTGGTATCAGACCAGGTTAAGACGGAGCAACCAAATACAGCAAAAGACACAGAGGAATCATGAAACAAAGCAAAACACATAACACAAAAGTTAAAATATCTTAGAGCTCATGCAAAAATGGTAGAGAAGAACCTTACATTATACTTAATCTCTTCTGCAAAACACTTAAGTCTCCAAATTAAAACAAGAAACAAGAGAATATAATGGATTGATTGCCTAGCTTGGTATCCAAATACAGCAAGAACTGCTAGTATCTGCTCTGTCCCGGTTCTCATCTACACCATGCATGACTTCTACTACCACCCTACATATTGTCAAGAGACAACCTCGTGAAGACCAAGTTGCCCAGAGCAGGACAGGGAAGATGAATTTCTTATTAATGCGCATTGGCACATGGTGCATTTTTTACCACAACTGTCACAAAAAGTAAGTGAAAAAGTAACTCAAGGTTAAAAGCTGGTGTTATTTTTTCCCAATTGTACTTTCATTTCGGTGCTGTAGGTGGGCATGTTCCTTCTGAGTTTTTTTTACTTCCATGCTATCCAGTTATTGGAATGATCAATTTTCACTTTACCAAGAATTCTAAGCCAGGCTTTTTTCTACTTCTTTAGTAAATAGGTCAAGGGGAGGACCAGTTTGGTGTGCAACACAGTCCTAAACTCATAAATGTCCGGACAACATCCAAACTCCCCCAGCAAGGTCCTGTGGGTGAAGCCCACCTTGGAGGCCATGAATTACAAGGCAGAGTTATCTGAGGCACAACTACAGAGTTGTGCAAAACTACATTTCCTGGATGACATATTCATGTGTCCTGCAGAAAAGCATTCGACATTCCTACAAGGAACAGGCATATATCCTTAAAAATTCTTTAAAATTAAGACAATGTTTATTTGAAATATGGGCTCACACTTTAACAGGAGACAACTCAAAGTGGTCCTGCAGCACTTTTAAGACAATAGCACCCTAAAGCCTCATGGGCAATGCACGACAATTCAGTGTTCTCTAGTCAGATAGAGCAATGCTCACCATCCTGGTCAAGGGCCACTGGTGCTCCAGACGCTGTTGGTTTCACTCCTCCACAACTGATACTGCCTTCATGATTCTCCAATCACACAACCCTTAACCCATGTCTCATTTTTGTCCTTGCAAACCTAGAGCCAACAGTTGATACCAAGCCAGAACAGCAAAAAACCCAAATGTCTTTCCCTCTGGGCTTTGTAAGAGTTTGTCTGGTGTTCAGGTCCTATGTGATGAAGCTTTGGCCATTATGCTGAGAAGACTCAAAATGCCATCTTAGTTCCCAAAGTTTCAAGTAGAAGTCACAATCCCTGTACACACATATGCTGTAATAGAGGTGCAACTCTAGGCACTTTGGGCGCTATAACAACACAGACAGACACCACAATTTCAAACTCCTACTACTTAGATCACACTTCAGTTCCCACTCCATGCTTCCCAATTACAATATTCATCTTCCCAAACAGATCCACATGCTGATTTTGGTAATCACAACCTTCAAACACTTGTCCCTGTCATGTATACCAGCATCTACATATTCAAAGCATGCCTCCAAAGCACATGCCAAACATCTGTTTCAACCAGTTCTCTTCAGATTTTAAGCTGTTTGCTGGACAACTGCCATCCTAATGGCCAGCTCCTCTGTTAGTGAACTGGAGAATTCATTCTGTATTTATTGATTGTTCCCTAATGAAGAACCATAAAGGTGCCAGAGACTCTTAACCAGACACTACTTAATTAGTACTAAAGTGCAAAAAGTTCCAAATCAAACAAGCTCTTTGTATAGTGGCTCAGTCACTGGGGGAAAAAGTGACATCATTTTCTGTTTATACAGAAGACCATAAAATTTTATTAAAAAACGCTAAGGAAATTAAAAAATTATATGGATTATTCATTTCCTTCCAGTTCCTAATACACCAAGTAGGTATTCCAGAAACAACTCATGCTTTGCTAAAGGAAGTACTCTTCATAAAGGACACAGCAATACGTATCATGCACAGAATGTATTTTATATTGAACAAAGGCAAATGCCAATGGAACCTTTACTATATAGAAATGTCTTTGTTACACACAAAGACATGCAAAGCATCCAAAAGGTACTAAAAATGAATGGATCTGTCTTTTCATCATCGTGGCTCACACAATAGTTCAATTTTTACATTCCCACTAATTACATTATATTGGAGTCTCTTCTGAGGGTACTTGCTCTCAAGAAGGCAGTGGTGAGCAAGAACTCGATTAAATGCCAGCCTTTTTCTTCCTCTCAAACTTAAAGCCTCAAAACCACCCTGAATAACTGGTATTTCCTTGCAAGTATTTCAAATTAAGTCATCCTGAAAGTTAATTCCCTCTTTTCCATATCATTCAAATTCTCAATTAAATAACTGAGAAAATAGCAGAAAGGGAAAAAGCCAAGTAACAGAATTAGACAAAAGCCCATCCTTACAGGGTAATAGCATTGCTGCTTTTATTGGGCTGCTTTTGAAGGCATCTGTCTTTAGATTAGTAAAGTGGCTTGGATTCTTTGGAATAACATATCATGTACACAAGGAAACAAAGTTTCACGATAACAAAAAATAAAATACATTAAAATAGATCCCCTGGCTGTAATCTACGATCATTGATACCACATATGCAAGAAAATACGCTCCCATCTTCCTAAAAGCTATCATTCCAACACCAAGTTCTGTAAAAAAACTCAAAATCCAATTCATGATCTGTACTGCATCCAGCAGCTGACGTGATACCAGCTTTAGTCCTCTTATCTTAATGATAAACAAGTGCATTTCACCAGAGAGAGAGAGCAGGTTTCCACAAACAGAAAATGGAGTAGGACGAGGATTAAAAGGATGAAACAATCGCAGTAAGGCAAATATCCCCAGAAGGCAGAATAGCAAACATACATACATACATACTTATATGGACTTCCCAGACATATGGTTTCCTTTACTGATATCTATTCCTTTTTCCTTTTTTTTTTTAATTAAACTGCACCTATTTTTAATAGGTGTAAAATAACACCAACAGCATCTTAACTATCCCAGATGATTCCAGTAAGTCTTCTGCAGAGTTTTGTTCTGTGCTTCCAGCAGATCAGATTAGATGTTCACCAGTACAAGTTCCAAGAAAATATGCTCCAGAACAGTGGAAATAAAGAAAAACACAGAAAAGAAAATGGGAGGGACAGCTAACCACAGAGAAGCTGGGGAAGGGTTACCAGAGTGAGGTCACACAAACCTCTGCTTACCCCTTGCTCAGATTCCAGCAGCTCTGTTTTGACTCTGACTGCCGGCATCCCATCAAGCATTAACATTCTGTTCTCAAAGGCGCTGATGTCCTAAGGCAAAAAAGGACAAGGTTAATCAAAAAATTATGAAAAAAAATCACTTGTTTCAATTCACTGGTTTAAGTTCTACGATACTACAGAAGTATGTTTCTTTCAGCAGAAATAAAGTTAACGAGGAGGATGCAATAATAATTTCAAGGAGTAGCTGCCAAGGTACTACTTCTGCTAAAACAGTAAATCATACTTTCAGTCATCCTTAAAAGAGAACTAAGTCCTTGTAAGCAACAAGGAAAAATCATCTCCAATTACTATTTTGTAATTTGAAATTAATTACACAGGTATACTAATTCCTTGCTTTAGAACTGAAAAGAACGCAGTGGTGTCAAACAGTTTGAAGGTTTTGGCAGTATGCTTAGGTATAGTTGATTTCAGTCAAAACACTTGTACTTCTGGTAGAGAAAGCTTATATGGAGAGAAGTTACAGTGAAGGCCTGTACCCATACACATTATAAATTAATGTAAAATTGCTCAAATTTCTTATCATCCTATAAAGTTATCATCATTTGCAAATGAAAATCTCCACACACCTCTGAAATAATAAAAATTATCTCTGAGAGAGATAAAAAAGCAAGTTAAAAACATGCACTGTCCATGTAGTTATGGGCTCTATATGCCGAGAGCTTCAAGCTGAAGAAGGATTTGCAAAACTGTGCTTCCCTGAATCAACATTTTCATTGTTACTGGAGCAGTTTATGAGGACACACAGAACACTCCTCTTGTGCCTTCAAATCAAACAGTACCTCAACCTGAATCAATTTTCTACTCCAGACAAGGCTCAAGGCTGGTGTTTGAAAGAAAGCACCTTCAGCTGCCATTTAGTCTGGACAACATGGAGAGAAAAAAAAACAACCTTTTATCCTTCAAGCTAGAATGTGAACTTACAAATCCAGACACCTTGGTCAGTGCTACAGAAATGTGGAAACATCACACCCATTTTTCAAATAATGTAACTGGAGCACACTTCATTTACAAGTAACCCATTCACAGTCAGTTATTAATCTACAGCCCTGTCTGGAAGGCTCTAGACTGGAAACTCACCTCTGCTATGATACCTTGTAGTCCTCTAACTGCATGAGAATGGGAAAAAAAAAAACATTTAACCATTTCCCCTGTCTTTTACAGGCAGCAGATCCATTCAGCACTGCATGGTGCCATTATTCATAAGTAATGCACTCATAGCCCTGTTTCTTATCATGCTTGCTTCAGTCGAAGTTTAAGGAAAATGGTCTATCAGAATAGAGCTTCCAAATTACGTTCTAAAAACTTAAACTACATTAAACATTTTCTTTTTTCCAACTGATACACCTCATCCCAGGACCTCCGCTTTCCAGGCTATAAATAGTGCAGAAACTGTTTATTTTTTTGTATACTCCTTTATTGTAATTTAAAGAACATGTTGAAAAGGAAAACTGATATGCCCAACATGCTGCCAAAAGCGGAGCAAATGACCTGCTTAAAATCCGTGTCACACTTACTTAAAGTCCTGTGTATTTTAGCACCCAGAGTTGAGGCTACTCACTACAGGACAGAAAGCAGCTTGATGGTAAAGCAGATAAGCAAATGCAATCTCTATTTCTTACCTTTAAAAGTAGATTTATATCATTCACAAAAAGCTCTAAATGCTTAGAGTTATAAAATTTCAGATTGAACAAGTAATTTTCAGCAGGACACCTCTGCAATCACACATACAAGAACAGAAACCAGTCAAGCTACTGAGACGTGTCACTTCATGCTATGCTACTGCTGTACATCTACTGTACTTTTAAAGCCTGACACAATGGGAAGAGGAAGAAAACCAAGTTCTTCCCATGTTTGCTGAGCAAATTATTTTGCTCACCTTGATGTTCATCCAGAGTTTGAGACATGAGGTGGAAAAAACGCAGGAAGAGTCTCTGATGCCAAAAATAACCTGGATGAAATTGTGCCTGGCTTTACATCTTTCTTCCCAACAAGGACACTGCACTGTTTACTTATTATCAGCAGATCTCAGGTGTCACTGAACCCCATCAGTTTGGATGTGGTTTGTGCTGGAGAAAGAGCAGAAGCCAGCATGGCATTCCTGGCTTCCCCAGTGCCTATTTTGCAAGCTGAGAGGTCCCTCTGCTCTCTTGATTTATAGGCAGCACAGTTGAATTTTACAGCAAGATCAGGAATACACCATCATCAAACATCCCTTAGGCTGTTTAGCTCATAGACAAAGAAGGATGAGCTGATGCTGCACCGTGTCCCTGAGGAAGTTTTACTCGCCTGAGCAAAGGGACGAGGCTGGCTTACACAGGAGGCACAGGCAGAAGGAGGGGGGAAGACAAAGTGCCACGGAAGAAAGGCAGGTTTAATGAACTGTTAGAATCTGATTAGAGGCTAATGTCCCTTTTAGTGCTTTGTACCAATTTACAGCTGATATACTTGAACCATTTTTCCCCACTGGCTGTGATAAACTCATTAGTTTTAAAAATGCAAGCTAAACAGAGCCTTTGAAGTTTAAAACTGATAAATCATGAAAACCTGACTAGTTCATGTACCATTTAACACATTTACATTTAACTAAATTTTCATCGTGTTCGCTTCTCCTTTTGTTCTCCAAAAATCTTATTTCTTAAAAGCAGCCTTTCGAGTGCTGGTCTGAAGAGCAAATACTCTGGCTGAAAACAGCTCTGCCTTTCGGGTAATTTATAATTCAGAGGAGCAATAATCACAGGAGTAAATTATTTCCAAACTATTTGATCTCTTCTGCATTTATAACTTGAAGTACGTTGTGTGACACATCCTGAGAGGCCACTGCGGAGTAGATCCAGTCTGTGTGTGATCACAGGGACAACACAGTCAGCCCAAAGTCACCCAGAGAGCTGATCCTTCCAAACAGTGCTCTCCTGCCATAACCAGTGCTTGCACTACAGTATGTTCAAAGCCATGCAGCAAATCAGGTGTAATTGCTGAGGCTTGCATAGAGTGGGCTGTCACCTAAGGCAAAGGGGCTTGAGTTACTCCCACGGGGGCTGGGATAAGAATTGAGCTCTTCCAGGAGCCTCCAAGGTCAGGCAAGCAGACAGAGTATCCACACCAAAGTGAGGCCAGGCTGCTCCAGTGCCCACATTAACTGATGACACTCATGAGACTCACCGGCAGAGATGGGTGATGTGATGTATTGAGTCAATGCATTATTCAGGCAACCCCATTTTCTTCATTAACTGTGGTAGCTAACTTCCAGCCCCCAAATTGCTCAGGTGAAAGGTACTTTAATTCATGTGACAGTCCTTCCTTTCTAGTCCTCCCACCTCAACCCTCCTGGTGGACTCCTTTACCACCTTCTTAAAACACACAGCAGATGTAGGTCCTAAGCTGGGCAGACAATGAAGCCAAACACTGCATGGCCTTACCAAAACATCTGTTCTCTTGGATGAGTAACTCATCCTTAATGCTCTCTTTTCTCCGTGCCATCCACTGGAACCTGCCACTAATCACTTTTGGACACTTATTCCCTTGAAATATTAATTAAAAACACAAATCATACCCAGGTCCGTATGGGCAACTGCTACTAGAGCAGTTGTTACACAAGACACATACGCTTTCAAGCTTACAAGCTCTTTTGAGAAGCTCTAGAAGTCATCTGATAACCAGACTCTCCCCACTCCTAAAAGAACTAAATTTTCTGCACAGCACCTCTACAACCATCACTTGTGTTTTCTTCATGAGGATGGCTTTCTGCTGTAATTTTTAATCAAATTATCTTTTGCTACTTTAGCAGAAGAAAACAAAACCCAAATCCCATTATCTCATCCTGATACAAACCCCCTCAGCACCCTGTAGTGTTTATTTAATTATGATTTACACTATTATGACATTCGCCATCCACAAGAAGTGCTAAAGTTTTGTAGGCAAGTTTTTCATTTGGCCAAGCCATACATTTTGAGAATCCCACTGCAAATTTTTAACAATCAGAGAGGATCTTATGCCACAACTCACCTCCTGTTCTGAGACACCACAAAGACACCCCTAAACCCCCTTTTTAATTTCTTCTAAGCATAAGATGACTGAAACCAGATATCCCCACCCCACATCACAGTTGCCTCTCTCACCCTCCAAGATTTTCACATCTAGCTGCACAGTACTAAAGCCTTACCCCTCAGACAGACCCTACCCCAGGCAACCCCAGAAAGCAAGCAGTGAGCTCAGGCTTCAGAGCACCCAGAACTCAGCCCTCACATTTCCTGCATGGACTGACAAACATTTACATTCCTGTGAAAGAAAGCCTCCTCGCCTTGTTTCACTACTGAACACAAAAGTGATAGAGAGGCAAGGCAAATGATGCTTGCTACTGCTACCACCAATGAAAGGCTTAGTCTCACTGGAGAGCTGCACACAGAGACACTGATGGTTCTGCTTTTTTCCAAGGTGACTGTTGGGAAGGGTAGATAAATATGATTAAGAACCACAAAGGTACAGCCAGGACGAGTATAACGCCCCCTACTGGCTGGACAATTACCCTCACCTACAGCGGGGTCCAAAAGCCGAATGGATTCTCCCATCTCCCCCCCCAGAATGTATGGTTCACCCCACATCTGTAACCCTCCCCTGAACCATCAGGTGCCTGTGACCCCATTGGCCCAGGTCCTGTTCCAGCCCACCCTGGAGCCCCCCTTGATAAGGGGTCTCCAGGGGGCTGGACGCCCTCTTGGATCTTCCCTTCCCCTCCTGGAGAGTCCTCCGGGAGTCCCTGCTCCCCTCTCTGTCTCTCCCCTCCCCCATCACCCGAGGCCCAGCCACGTGCTGTGTCTGGCAGCTCGAGGCAGGGTCACAAATGTATCCTGAATAAACCTCTTCCCCCAAGAGCACCAAAGAGATCTCGCTTGAATCTGTCCGTGGAATACAAATATATGTCGTTACAGGTGACCTAAAAGGTTCAGCTGACAATTCAGTCTTTAAAATTCTTGTGGGCTTGACCTTCGTCATCTGCCATATGCCCACCCGAGCCACTGCTGCATTCCTCCTCT